TTTGTAATTATTACACGACTCAGGCAGTCAGAGGGCCAATAGCTAAAATCAACCAATCAAAATGCTCTATTGCCGGTTAATATTCTCTCCGTATTGGACCGGGCACTGTCCCGAATGGTCCCGAATGATACCGCACTTGTGTCCCTTTGAACTTCAGTCGTATAATAAATCTCTTATTAACCAAGCTTGCTCGGGACCGTACTGGAAGAAGATCGGCCCTCGGTCTTTTTTGTACGGACCTAGCTGCGCTCGGTCCGTACTGTCAAGACCTCGGGCCGATATTCTCCCACTACGGCCCTCGCGCTTGGTTAATAAGATATATTTATGATAAAGTTCAGATACAACGTGCACTGTCATCGGTTGAAAGGGCTTGCTCTATAAGAATTTATAGTACACCACTATTGGTTTAAATTGATCACGTGACGCCATAGTGTTCATCCGTGGAGAGACACTATTAGCCCATAGTGCCCGTCCGCGAAAAATACCCGGATTGATAGTACTCATCCGAGAAAAAAATTTGAATGGTTTGACGGTCACGAAGTTAGGCACATCGCATAAAACAGTGACTTTTCAATTTTGACAGGTATAACGTATTAGCTAGCCAATTTACGATTGCGAATTATTAACATTTCTGATAGACTGTAGCCATGAATTAATAACTGATTGATCTGCATTTAGAGGGTTTTGATTAATTGTTTTTCAACTGGCGCGCGGATGAAAATTTAGTGGTGAACAACAAAGACAATAGAGTGTTTATGTCTCGGAACTATCGGTCTGATAATTGCCCCTTGGAAATTTGATGTTCTTAAAACAAGCATATGTGTTTATTTCGTGTTTAAAAACAAAACAGAACAAATCAGATTTGATGAAAGTATACTTGAGAAATACATACAAACTGGCATCACTGTTAAAATATATACAGCTAGCTCATCATGGTGATCTCCGGTCCTTGCAGTGAAGCTGAGCCACAGAAATTACATCGACCGCCCTTTGGGGGAACTGAACTTTGAGCTCGCTCTAATATCCTTTCCGATGCATTGAGTGGAAGGCCACGTCAGTCACAGCAGCCGAGTTTTACAGCGCTGTCATCCCGAGCAATCATCTTGTTCCTGTTTTGACTTACTAGTCATGTTAAAAAACGCGCGCGTCTTTATGAGCCAAAATTCGACCGGATTTCATTGAATTTTTTACGTTCAGAATCCGTGTTTACAGGACAAAAACCTCAGGCAAAATTGTTTAATTCGGCCCGCTGAACCATTTCTGTTTTGGGGAATCGTAGAT